AAATTGTCTTAATGTTACTTACGAAATTAAAATTAAGAAAAAAGAAAGAAGGTATCGATTTCTCTCATCCACAAAAATTTCGACTTTTAACAAACAGGGCGGATAATGCATAATCTTCGGTAATAAATTCATAACATTGTCATCGTTATTATTATTAGATATGTATCAATATAGATATACAACATTTTTAAATGCAAAATACAGTAAAACGTAATATTATCATGCCTCGGTATAAAGATAATTCATCATCGATGCTCGCGCTTTTTACACATAGCAAACTTACAAATAAAATCTTTCTCACCTTTTTCATGTATCATTTACGAAAACTAACATACTCATTTCTCTAACTCTATCAAAGAACACGTCAAGTATTATAATAAAAAAAAAAAAAAGAAATTATCTAACACCCTATAAAAAGAACCGAGTAACACGAATTTCTCTATCCTAATAAGTTCATCTAAAAAAAAAAAAAAAAGAAACCTCGATTATCGTGCAAAATATCGATCGTAGGACTTCTCGCTCGAAAACCATGCTCGAGGGTCGACAAGATCAACGAAGAAAATCCCAGAACTGTATTTCTGCCATAAAAATCACGCGAACCACTGTATAACGATCGCCTAATGAATTAAAACCCGATCGTCTCGCTTACCCTAGAAAATCCGACCAACGATCCGTTTCCAAGATTCCACGATCCGCCACGATTATAAATTACCCTCAGTGACGACGATCGTCGAAAATCCACGGAGAAAAATTTTCACGATAATTCGCCTAACCGGTTCGACGTAGAATCCAATCTGTATTCGGGAATGTTCGTGATCCGGATCGTATCCAAACTCTCTCTCTCTCTCGCTCATCGAAATACCGATAATCGATTAACCCTTTGTGGTCGATCATTCTTCGCTATAATTCATCTATTATCCACGACTCATTTAATATACAATATTCACGATATATTTCAATAGTCGAGCGACGAGTGTGTTGTTCTAGAAAAATAAATAGAGCGTATACTTTCCGAGAAATAGGTCAGCGCGTATCTAGTTATGAAAGAAAATTTGCGGATCTGTCTCCTCCCCCCGGAAGTCTCGAGATGTATACAGTTCTTTTGTTTCTTTTCTTTCTTTTTGTTTCGTCGTACAGGTATATAATATATAATATATGATAGATTTGTTCTATAAGCTTGAATCTCCCGCAACGGGTTAATCATTGATATGCAAATCGAGCAACGTGTCGGACACACGAGGTCCCACTCGAAAATTAACGGCTACGTGCGATAATGTATAGTTAGATCTTCTGCCACCTTTCTAATGTTTTCCCTCTTCGATCGTTCGAGTGCTACGAAACGAATTTCCGTCGACGCAGGCAACAAGAAAAAAAGAAGAAAAAAAAACGCATGTTCGCTGTGTGACGCGTAATGATATTTCTTTTTTTTTTTTAAATTACGTACACGTAGTTTCTCTTGCTTTTTTGTATTTCATGTTTCTTGTACAGTGGGGATGATGATCACGATGAAACGTTACGGATCGATCGTTTCTCTCCGTTTGATCTCGTATTGTTATTAAATAATTTCATCTCTTGCAGAATCGTCGATTGGAGAAACTTTGTGAAAATTTTTCTTTACGCTAATAGGTGCAATGACCCTCTGTAACGTAATCGTTATCGATGCTTTTCTGTTTTTTCTTCTTCTTATATACGTGCGTTCGAAGGATTTCCGAGTGCGGTGTCGATTATTCGTGTTCACACTTGATCGATTAAAAGATTCGGTTGTGACTATTTCTATGATTGGAGAGGTTGGAAAAAAAAGTGTGTGTGTAAGAGCCGTGGGTCACAGAGGGTGACGAAACGAAAGAGAAAAATGGCCACGAAGAAGGCATTGAAAAAACCGAACATTTGGAATCTGAGCATTTCTCTCAAATCTTCTCCATTTCACTCTTAGAAAACTGAACTAATCGTGTACAAATGATCCTCGTACGTGCACGTGATCTTGATCGATTGAACGACGCCATATTTGTCTGGACGAAAAACCTAACCTAACTTAAGACAATTAAAACGTTTCAAACTTGATTAATAATATATAGTCTTGTTACTTTGGACGAGGAAACGGCAGAAACAAAATGGCTCACAAAATGGCGGATACTTCGTTGATAAAATAACCTCTAAATCGTGTCGAGAAGAATATACAAATTTTGACAAGCGGACGAAAAAATATGAAACATATTTATGAACAGAATAGGCATAATCAATTTGATCGAAAGAGTAACATCTATTCGGTCATTAAAATGGTATCAACTGAATTAACCAAGTAGCATAAAATTGATTCGCGAAATACTTTCAGTTAGAGAAAAATGGCCTTTAATTAGCCAACGATGTAACATCATTTAATCAACGAAGAAAACACCGGTTTCATCGACAAAGAATAACTGGCGTTATTTCGTCCGAGAAGATTTCCACGAAATGGCGGTGAACGCGTCGACAAAATGGCGTCGAGTCCGCAGACGAGAGAAAAAACAACACCTCTCGCGAGTTTCAATTTCGTGTCTCTGCCATTTCGACGCGTGAAATTCTGTCTCTATTGCAAAAATTCACGCGGTACTCGCAGCATGCTCGACAAGTACACGTGCGCAGTCGTTGGAAAAAAACGACGAGGATTTTTCTGGGACCTCGTAGGCGTGGGGCTCTCAAAGGCTCTGAAAATGCAAAAGGGAGCGTCTTCTCCTGTGGTTCGTGCTCGGTTTAAAATGGTCGCCTTTTTTTTTTGTGCTCTAAAAATGTTTTTTTTTTTCTCATGACTCTCATTCGTTCGCTTGGCCACGCCAAGCGCGTAAATTGCTATATAAAAAAGAAATTAAAACCCTTCTCGTGACACCTTATAGATCGCGCCTGCGTTAGCACGAGGATTAGTGTGTTCCTTTAAAGAAAGCAACTATCCTGCGGGTAAATGTGAATTTTGACACTGTGAATTTGCGATAATGATTTTTCAGCGAATGATAGAACTGTGTTATAAATAGGGCAGTGATTTCATAGAATACTTGTTTGTGATAAGAATGATTCTACTTTAACTACAAATTTATTAAATCCGAGTTATTTTTCCGAATTAGTAAATTGGTAATTAAAATTGGCAAATTTTGATTTTGTGCGCTGAGAATGATTTAACTTTAACTACAGATTTATTAAGTTCGCACTATTCCATCGTAATTTTATCAAAATCGATCGATTTTCATAGAATTATCGATGAAAAACTAACGAACAAGAAAACTTCGTTAAACGTCGTCTCACAAAAGAACATCTCCAATTAACACAATCGCAAACCTGACAACACCAAACAATCCACACGAAACATCCACCCCTTAATCGAACACCATCTACTCCTCGAGCCAACGGAAATTCCCGAAATCTCTCCCCCGCTCTCGCAAATTTAAAACGCAATTACACCGCGAAACTGTCACCGGCGGCGATCCGTAAGGCGCGACGAGACGTCTAAAAAAAAGCCGGACGTAACATCGAGTAAAAATAAAGACATCGAAATAGTGCAAAAACATGGAATCGCTATAAAAAAAAAAAAAAGTAGAAGGAGAAAGAAAGGCAAAGAAAAAAAGGTACAACAGCTCGAAGAAACTCACCGCGTGCGAGGGTAATTCTCTCGTTACACGTGAAAAAAGGAAATGGGGGAGGGCGGTTGAAAAGTGAAGAGAGAGAGAGAGAGAGAGAGAGGAAAGAAACAAAAAAAAAGAACAAAGGAAGGAAAAAGAGAAAATGAATTCCAGAACCATTCGGTACGGTGCTTGCTAAAAGGACGGCATAAAAAAAAATAAAGAGAAGAAAAGGAAAGGCGAACGACACAACACACGCGGATGGGGGAGGGGGATGTACCGGGATTCCGAACGCATCCTCCAACGACCGCATACGGCGTATACAATATTCAAAAGTGCGTACA